AGCAACACCTGGGAACCTATTACAAATGCAAATTATTGGGCCCCACTGAGGCCTCCTGAAGAAGAAACTCTGGGGGTGGGACCCAGCCATCTCTGCTTACCAAGCCCTCTGGGTGATACTGCTGAATACCAAAGTCTGAGAAATACTGCTTTAAGCCAGTGCCCCAGTAGAGCCACCTGAGGAGCTTTTCAAACTGTCAGTGCTGAAGTTTATCTATCTCCCTGCCCCAACTTCGGTCTGGATTGGAACCAGGCACGGCGTTCTAACCTGCCCAGGGTGGTTTTAACGCACAGCCACAGTTGAGAACCACAGTACTAAACCTCAGGTCACCTATAAAACGGGAAAGGTAATACTTACCTCCAAGAGCTGTTGTAGGAATTAAGTGGCGTAACTTACGGAGTTACGCACAGTTCCCAGCAAATGGGGAAGCACTGGGCAAATGGTATAGATATTGCTATGATGATCTTGGGACTCAGAGAGGTCAGGGCTACATTGTCAGGTCATAAAAAGACACTGGGAACTTCAGAGCTCATGAAGTTATGGCTCTAAAGTTGCAAGGTGTGCTCATTGTAGCTATTGCCAACCGAAATTCTGTCTGTGGATCTTCGCACATGCTATCTGCATGTGCTGATCCTACCTGTAACAGTGTGGTGATTGGACGTACAGGCTTTGAACTCAGGTGGCTTGGATTTAAACCTCAGTCTAGACGCTTAGAACTGTGTGATCCTGGGCACAAGATCTAAGCCTCAGTTTCTTCAACTGTAAAATGGGACTAATCATACTGGAGTTACATAAGACCTATAAAATGCAACGCCAGGTGTGGGGTAAGTGCTCCAAACATGTTGACATAACTTGCCTTCATTGCTTTCACTGCTTGTGAAGTCATTCCACATGATTAGACTGCATTGATCTCTATCTTTAACTTTATTAACAATTTATATTTAATTTGTTTGGTGCTTAATGAACTGGTCAGTTCTCATGCTAGATCTACTCCCTCTTTTAGATTTGACCTGTGTCCTAAGACTTTTAATTTGTTTAGAATGTTGTTTTTATGCTAAACACAATGGGTCAGTTAGTAGTTTCGTGGCTCTTTTAGGATAATATTTTGCACTAAGTACCAATTTAGATCGTCAATAAGGAGCTCATATTTTCTGTAATAGACACAGAGAGCTCTCCAAAAATGAATCTCTTCTGTCTCAGAAAAACACTTTCATTCCATTTAAGTGGAATGAAAAAGGTCTTGGGATCTAAATTGGTTTAATTTTGGTTTCTACTTTGACATGAACTTATAATATTGGCAGACGTCCAATTAAGTTAGAAAACTGCATCTAGTTAGTGTCTTTGACCAGTCCTCACCTGGTTTCACAACCCTCCTCTTTTGCTACCATGGTATCATTTAAAAAACACTTCAGGGGCGCCTGCATGGCTCAGTCTGACTCGTGATTTTAGCTCAGGTCATGATCTCACAGTCGAGAGATTGAGCCCTGCATTGGGCTCAGCGTGAACCCTGCTTGCAATTCTCTGTCTCCCTCTCTTTCTGCCTCTCCCTTGCTTGTGTTCTCCCTCTCTCTCTCTCTCTCTCTCAAAAAAAAAAAAAAAAAAGCCAAAGAAAAACATTTCAGTTTTAAGTTCAGCATGATGTTTTACTAGTTTTCTAGTTCTTAAATACCCAGGGCTTTACTATTTCTTTCCCTGTTTTACTAAGTCTTCTTGAATGTTTTACTGTTGTTTTTTTTTTTAATAAACGCTTTCTTTTGAACTTAAAATGAGTACTTAAGAAAAAGGACTATGAAGACAGAGTTGGCAGTTTAAGAGACACTTCCCTCTATTTCCTTTGAAGATTGTTTCTGCCTCTAAATCTCTAAAATTAGGCACTTAGAAGCTTTGGGGGGAAATGTGTGAGGAAAAAAGGAAAGGGTGAAGAGGGTAGAATTTTTAATTTTGACTTATTCTTTTCTAGAAGGTGCTTAGCAAGTGAGAGCATCCTGTTTATATGCTCATACAGATTTAGATATACATACACCCATCTACATGATGCTTTTTAAAAAAAGTTTCTGGAACTCATAATTACATAAATAATACAACCCATCTCCCCACTACTGCTTCCTGAACCTGTCGTGTTGCAGGTAAATGTAGGGAATTTTATATTTTTAGTGTATATTTGTCAACACTACCTCGGAAAAATCTATCGGTAAGACGTAATAATTCTCACTAGTCGCACAAAGAGCTGTATGTGAAAACATTTGATTCATCTTTAACAACTCACATGGTACTTTTCACAAATCTAAATATTCATGAATCTCGTGAAGCATTACTATGATTTCAGAGATAGGAGGTTGGGAGAACGTGACTTAAGCTCACAAAGCCAGTAAGGAGGACTGCATCCACAATCCAGGACTTCTGAATCCCAAGCCCCGTCTGCTTTACTATGGCATACTGACACCCAGGGCAGAATCCTCCATGCACACGGAATCCCAAACATTGGAGGGAAAACACAAAAGCTTTGGTCTTGACCGGAGAAATCCAGTTAAACATCTGGCTAGCCTACACCTGCAGTTAAAGTTTTTTTTTTTTCTGATCGTACTTTGTCCTTGCCTTAAACCTTAGTCGCTGGTATCCTGAAATGTGTTGCTTTTGTGGCATCAAGAAGTACCCCTTCCCTTTTATCCTCTACGCCCTATCTGGTCCACCACGTTCAGTACAGGCTGTCTCAGGTCAGGTGGCATTTACTGTGTTAGCTGAGTTTCAGGGTACAGCTTATGTACAAATACATTTTAGGTGTAGTTTCGGATTCTCGCATGGAGCAGCGGCATACTAACCTACCGCCGAGTCACCTACAAACCTCCCTGTCAGCCATTAAGGCTCTTGGTAGGTTCAGAAGCCATCAGCAAACCAACCCACAGATCCTTTGCTAGTTTCTGACTCAGGTCAGCTATTGGTATCTGATGCGGTTTCTCTTCAAAATACCATGCTAATTCTTTTAAGCTCCTCTGACATCCGGGCCTTCTCCACGAATTGCAACGGCCTGATTTGAAACATCCACTGGGTGGTTCTATACTGCGTTCAGGCTGAGAGTCTGTTTCTCAGCCTGACATCCTGGGGCAAGCTTCCACCCACCTGGCTCGGCGGCACTGGCCAAGAATAACAAAGTGTGCACTTTTCTGAGCAAATCCCTGGGATCACACAACTGTCACTCAGACAGTCTTAGGGACCCAGTCTGTTTGTGTCCTCCCTAACTAGCACGTGGCAGGCACATGGCAAGTGCTGAGAAAAATTCTACATGAATAGATTCTCCGTCCGCTGAAGAAATCGGACACAAATCACCCAGCTTCGAGTAGTTTTTACAACTATAAAATGTGCCCCAGCCATACCATCTGGATCATGTACCTTTAAAAATATAATCCATCTTGGGGCGCCTGGGTGGCTTAGTCGGTTAAGCGTCCGACTTTCGCTTAGGTCATGATCTCGCGGTTCGTGGGTTCAAGCCCCACGTTGGGCTCTGTGCTGACTGCTGGCTCAGAGCCTGGAGCCTGTTTCAGTCTGTGACTCCCTCTCTCTCTGACCCTCCCCTGCTCACGCTGTCTCTCTCTCTCTCTCCTAGAAATAAATAAAAACATTTAAAAATATATATATAATCCATCTAACACATGGGATAGGATTATTACTAATTCAGGAATTATTTGCAGGGCAGTTATTGCCAGTACTTCTGATGCTACAGGGAAAGTCCTAGCCTCAATAGCTGCTGTACATACTCTTTTCCGGAGAGAGGCAGAAACGCCATTATAAGCCCTTTAGCTGGACAGTGTGCATCTAGTTAATGCTGCTGTATTGTATGCTTAAAAGTGGTTACGATGGTGAATTTTACAACCGAAAAGAAAAAGTACTTTAAAAAATTTACTAGATAGCATTAGATTTTTGGAACTTGAAAAAAAAAAATCAGAGAAGCCCTCACAACCTCTGGAACCTCACTGCGAGGATACAGTAAAATGAGCAGCTAGCAACTCATGCATATACCAGTCATTTCTCAAAGATGTAACACCTCACACACTCACTAAGTTGGTTAAGTCCAAGCTTTTGCACAGAACTTGCAAAGCCCTTCATGGTCTGGCCTCTTCTTTCCTTATGAAACCTATAAAGTCAGGGGTCTTTTTTCAACTCCTTGAACAGGACACTTTCTTTTGACCTACAGGATTTGTAATGGAGTTCTCTGTGCCTCACATTTTTCCCATCATTTTTTTTCTTTTTACATTTTTTTAGTGTTTATTCATTTTTCAGACACACAGAGACAGTGCACGAGAGGAGGGGAGGGGCAGAGAGAGGGAGACACAGAATCCAAAGCAGGCTCCAGGCTCTAAGCTGTCAGCAGAGCCTGATGCAGGGCTTGAACCACAAACTGTGAGATCATGACCTGAGCCGAAGTTGGATGCTTAACCGATTGAACATGCCAGGTGCCCCATTGAATTTTTAAATTTTAGAGTGGGAGAGAGCGCGAGCATGTATGAGTGGGGGAGGGGCAGAGAGAAAGAATCTTAAGAAGGGTCCATGGTCAGCACAGAGCCCAACATGGGGCTTGATCCCATGACCCTGGGATCATGACCTAAGCCAAAATCAAGGGCTGGACATTCAACCGAGCCACCTAGGCGTCCTTTTTTTTTTTTTTTTTTAAATTTTAAGTAAACTACACCACACATGGGGCTTGAACTCATGACCTTGAGATCAAGGCCTCTTTAAAGAGGCCTTTTTTTTTTTTTAAGCTTATTTATTTTGAGAGACAGATGAGGGGGAGGAGCAGACAGGGAAAGAATCTCAAGCAGGCTCTGTGCTGTCAGCATGGAGCCTAATATGGGACTCAAACTGATGAACCATGGCCTGACCCAAAATCAAGGGTTAGATTCTTAATCAATTGGAGTGCCTAGGGAGGCCTTCTTTAAACTACCTGAAGTTTGGGATTCTTGATATTTCTAGGTTGAGCCATCCATTGATCCACACTTTCGCAGAAGTCTGGATTTTTCCTTTGTAGCTTTTAATACAATTTTATTTGTGTAATGATATAATATTTAGTCTTTCCTACAAGCCTAAAAGTTCCACATGATAGGGTCTGTTTTCTATTGCTGACCATGGTATTACCAGGGCCCAGTACATTGTATACAGCAGGTACTCACTCAGTACTCTCTAAGCAGGTACAGCCTTGTCCCATAGATCTATCTTATTATATACTCTCCAAGGAATAGGTGGAGAGGTACCTAAAGTTTATGAGCTTGGTGATGGAGACAGTGGCTGAGTGGTCAGAGGGATGGGATGGAGGAGTTCAGGGCTGGTGCAGGGCGGGAGCGAGAAGGGACACTGAGGACTAAGGGATGCTCATCGAATGAGTTTGCCCCCATGCCCTCAACATCCCATCTGCACCCCAATGAGCCCTTCCTCAATCATCTATGCAGTCATTTCTTTAGAGAAAGAAGTAAACCTCGGAGGCCCAAACAGCTTTGTAGAATTAGGACATGTCCAAGAAACCAGGCACAATTCAACTGGATTGGACTTCAACATGGAAATGATTGAAGTTCCTCCAAATAATCAATTTAGGAAGCTCCCACTCCACCAAGTTGTGGAAAGATGAATACACCTTCTTCTGCTGTCAGTTGCTGAGAGAGAAGTTTTTTCTCCTGATGGGCCAACACTATTTCTTTTTTGCTGCTCTTTTCCCTTCTCCTTTCCTTGGTTTCCCCTTGCCGCGAAGCTTCTTTAGACGCATCTGCTCATCCTTGAAGTCCTGATGCTCATCTCTGAGTGGAGAAAGAAAAAGAGCCGTATTTTCACCTGACTGGAAAAGCATGCCAATGCAGCAACGTTCCCCTAGGCTGCTGTGGTTATCGGTCCTTGACTTCTATGTGCTCAGCCTGGTGAACAGAAAGGACAGGGAGTCCCCGATGTACACATGGGCTGTGTTCCAGAAGTTCATTTCTGAGCCACAGTGTCCCCACACAGAAACAATGCCACGAGTGACAGTTAAATTTCCAGGCCTGCTCATATAAACCTATGCAACTATGATACAGTGCTAATAATTACCCCAAACTTCCCTGTAACGCTAAGACTGAACATAGGGAAGCAGACAGTGGTATAAGCTTCCATAGCTACACAGAGACCCTGAAAGCCACGGGAACCAGCACCTCCTACAAGGGGCAGGGGTCTGGAGGAAGCTGCCTTCATGGCCATGGACAGTCTGCACGAAGAGGCTGCTGGGGAAAGGCTCAGGAAGAAGGAAGCCAAGTCAACAGACAGACCTAGAGATTAAGAAGCCAGGGCTGTTTTAAAATGTGGATGGGGTGTAAGACTGACTATACTCTAGAAAAATGCCTGCATTCTAAGATCCAATACCGTTCAACATGTAAGTTCTGGGATCCTTTTCCTTTTCTTTTTTCTTCAAGTTTATTTATTGAGAGAGAGCGAGTGTGCGTGAGCTTGTGTGCAAAAGCTGGGATGGGGTGGAGAGAGAGGAGAGGGAGAATCCCAAGCAGACTTGGGGCTTGATCCCATGAACTATGGGATCATGACCTGAGCCAAAATCAAGAGTCGGACAATCAACCGACTGAGCCACCTAGGTGCCCCCAGAATCCATTTCAATCCGAGTCAAATCACAGATCCATCTACCATTTCGTAGCTGTATGCCCTTGGATAAGTGACTTTCTCTCTCTGTACCACATCTATAAAGAGTGGGTAATAATGGTACATGAATTAAATATAAGGTGGGGGGGGGGGGTCCTGGGCCCAATTTTTCACTCCTTAAGTGGTTTTAAAACAGACTGGTTTTCTAGGTTAACACGGTTTCATTCCATGAACACAATGGACACAACTGAGCTCTTTGGAATTTACTATGATTGCCCTCAAATAATCTAGTGCCAACAGAGTAGCCAGAGTAATTCTAAACTCTAAGTCAGGTCACGTCACTCCTCTGTTCACAGGCCTGTGAGCGGCTCCCCATTTCACCCAGAATAAAGGCCAAGACCTTGTCATGGTCCTCAGAAGCCTTCATGATCTGCCTGTGGCCCTACCACTCGCTATAGCCTGTGCTGCGCCTGGAACGTGCCAGGCACACTCCAACCTCAGGGCCTTTGCTCTGCCTAGAAAGTTCTTCCCAAGTCCCACTTGATTTACTCACTACCTTTAAGTCTCTGCTTAGATCTCATCTTCTCCAAGAGGCTGACCTTGACTGTCCTGTTTAATGCTGTGACCCGTCCTCTCCCCGCCCACCGCTGCCCGGTCGGCATTCTTGATCCTGCTCAGGCGGCTTTACTGTCTCCCCCCACCCTCCCCCCCCAGAGCACTCAGCTGTGTACCGTATCCAGGTGTCTGTCCTCCTCTTCTTCCCTCCCTCCTCCATTCCCGCCAACCCTCAGCCAGAAGGAAGGCTCCGGAGGCAGGGGTCTTCGTCTCGGTGATGGAACGCCCCAAGTACCCGTGTGGCTGGATGAGTCAGTGTTACGGGAACCGTGCCTCCCTCCCTTGTCTGTGGGCCTTTGAACAATATTTCCTTTGCTGAAGACTGTCTGGTTTCATCCTGCCTGATGCCAGGAGGCCTTCCATCAGAGGCACCTTTTACCATAACCAGTGGCCAAATACATGAAGATGATGGTGCTTTTCCACGGATAACTAAATACTAAGTATTTTTCCCCCATCCCCAAAGATAGTCAAGGTTTTATTTTTCAAACAAATGGAGAGTGGCACCAAACAGGTAAATTAAAATAGCCGAATGTGAATTTGTTACGGGTTATAATTTTCTACTCAGGAGATCTTCCTTCCAGTGATATTGTATTTTGGGCCATAATAAAATTTTTATTTTCTGAGCCCAGACTAATAGCAAGGGAGTAAGCCCCAGAGCAATTCCAGAACTTCAGAATATATCATAGATTATAATCTCTCTTAACATATTAACTAAGAAAATCTCCTCTGTTTGGTTCACAGCTGTTCCAATTCAATTATTCCAATCCAATAAGATTTCTAGTGCCAATCTTAAGTGTCTGTACATGGAAGGTACTTAATACATCTGTTGTATAGATGAATGTACCAATTTTTAGCTAACTGGAGTGAATGATTAATTTTATTATATCAAACAGTCCCAAATTAACTTTTGTATTGCTGCCCTAAGGCATGTCCAATTAAAACATATTAAATTTTTTAAAAAGATTTACTTATTTTTAAAAAATTTTGTTTTTAGGTAATCTCTACACTCAACCTGGGCCTCAAATTTACAACCCCAAAATCAAGAGTCACATGCTCTACTGACCGAGCCAGCCAGGCTCCCCAAAAAGTAGATTTATTTTACATTTGAAAAAGGGGGGGTGCTGCCTAGGTGGCTTAGTTAAGCATCTGACTCCTGATGTCAGCTTAGGTCATGATCTCACGATTCAGGAGATCAAGCTCTGAGTCGGGCTCTGTGCTGATAGCACGGAGCCTGCTTCTCTCTCTCCCCCCCACCCCGTCCATCCTCTGCTCTCTCTCTCTGTCTCTCAAAATAAATAAATAAACATGGAAAAAAGGCAGATTTTAACTTTATACAATTATGCACTGTTTGAATTCTTTTATAATGAGCATGTTTATCTTGCTAATTAAGACTTTCTTTTAAAGAAAACGATCACGCAGGTATTTGATCTCAATACCTAGTCCTGAGTACCTATACATACACAAACATAGAACACATGGAATTAAGAGCCTGTGCAATCCACATATTACTCTTAAAGGTGAACTACAACTTTTTTTAAGATCAAATTAACATATCAAAAAGGGTACCAACTAAAAATGCCAAAAATAAATAAACATTACAAAAAAAATTGAAAAAAAAAAGGTGGGGGCCTGGGTGGCCTGGTCAGTTAAGTATCTGATTTTGGCTCAGGTAATGATCTTGCCGTTTGTGAGTCTGAGCCCTGCGTTGGGCTCTCTGCTCCAAGGAAGCCCGCTTTGGATCCTCCGTCTCCCTCTCCCTGACCTTCCCCCCCTTCATGCGTGCTCTCTCCCTCTCTCTCTCTCAGAAATAAACAAACATTAAAAAAATTTGTTTAAATGCCAGAATAAGGTAGAAGGACATAAGAACTCCAAAAAAACTGTCACTAGAAAAGAAAAGAGGCTCCCATAAGCTTGTGGGGAAGATCAGCTGCGGGGCAGGGACTCTCTTCATCTGACCAATGAGGACTCGCTGCTCTGACAGCCTGCGGGGGTGGGGGGTGGGGGGGATGGTTGAGGTTTTCTTTTGCAGTTTGGATCAGTTTTCCTCTGCATCCCTTTAAAGTGCTCTTAAATTAATAATTAAACACCTCTGTAGCTCAATATCTAGTCAGTCCAGTTTTAGACATAATTAAAATATGTCTTCCAATAAGTGCATGTTTCCTTATTTTTTTTTTCCTGGTGTGCCCATTGTGAGTATTTTTAAAAGCCTTTCCCCCCAAAACTGTGCCCTTTGAACAACCCGGGCACTGTTATAAGAACCAAAAAACTATAAGGATAGAAATGCTAACTTTTTCCTTTTCTGATCTCTTAGAATAATCTCTTACAGGTCACTCTCTGTGTTTTTTTGCCATTACCTGTAGAGGCCAAGAAAACGCAGTGTCCCCATGAGTGCAAAGTACGTGTTGTGATTTGGATACCAATCATAGGTCTCCTTCCTCGTGGCCAAAGGCTGCTCACTGAAGAGCTTCACCACTTTCATGGATTTGGAATCGGTGGGCCTGGCAACTTCGCCAAAGAGCCGGGCACTGAGACGACTCATGCGCAAGGCATATTCTGAAAGTGAAGACATTTCCTGAGCAGCAAGGAGCAAGAGTCCCTACGGAAAATGAGAAGAAAGATGAACAGGTCAGTGTACGAAATTCTGAGATTATTGACGTGAGTGCTGTAGAAAAGAAAAACAGGACATGCCTGGGAGTTGGGAAATAGCCACAATCCGAATGGATGTTTCCTTTGCGTGCTTTATTTACATTTCTAACTTTTGCATTTGGTATTTCCATGTTCTTACCTTGCTGCAGTGCCCTTTTTTCAGTGAACTGTTTTGTTATTTACTGACAGTTTACCTGTTTGTAGGCGAGATGAGCACAGGCAAATGAGTTATCCTACCACAGCGTTATTATTATACCTTCAGAAAACACCCACCTCAGCAATCTGCAGAAGAAAAATGCTGACTGCTTGCCATCTAAAGGTTTAATCATGGCAGAGAAATAATTATCCTGTTGTCTTATTATCAGCCCTTTGAACAGTGTTCTCCTCAGGGCTCCAGATGGCTCTGAGAACTGCTAATGAGTTATGAGGTCATTTAGCCTCTAGGTTGCTGCATGGAATTCTGCCTAGAGACTGAGGGCCATTTGGGAAAAAAACAAAACAGAGATAGTAGTCTTCTAGAAATAAACCCAACGCCTCTTAAGATTCATTTTATTCCTGAATAGAAGGACTTATGGGTTAGAAGATTATCTGTATGCACACTAGCTAAGTTCTTATTAACTGAAAACAGTACTTTTTTCTTCAGAGGCGCAGAAAGTTGAAATAGGTAGAAGAGTGCTAGCTGTAATACGCAGAAATTACAGCTAATATATATCAAAAATTATACAGGCGATACATAGGCATCAAGAACATTGCTGGTCAAACAGCCCTCACATCCCATCCCATCCCAGATGCAGAGGTTCCTGTTGGCTGATGGTGCTAGTTAATGTGAAATTGGGAGGGAGACGAGAATCTCTGCTAAGAAACTGTCCTGGGGGACAGTCTAGGGGGTGAAGAGGCATTGATATCCAAACAGAAAAAAGGCATGAACCTATCTTGAAAAACCAATGGGGAAAAAATACGGAAAACAAAAATCCCGCCTAGAAGGCCTGGCTGGCTCAGGCAGGGAAGCATGCAGAGTTTACTTAAAATATAAAATAAAATCCTAAAAAAACAAAAACAAAAACATAACACCCCTAAACAAGAATGGTGCTCAGTTAATTTCAAAATAACTCTTACAAGGAAAACAAAACAAAACAAACAACAACAAAACTACACCAAAACCAGTTTAAATTAAGGAGTTTTTCTTGTCCATTTCAAGACCCATTGAAAGAGCAGAGGCTGACCTCAAAACAACCACAGATTGTCAATTTCAAACCAGTCACCAATCTTAACACCAGCCCAGCAAACCTGGGCCAATAGTGCCATCTGAAGGCCAGCAATGGGAGAACCATGGGATGTAGTAGGGTCTCTTCTCTGCCACTCCAACCTGGGCATCATGTGCAAACCTTGCTTTTTCCATTTCCTGTAGCACTCCTGTTCTCTGATTCACTCCTCTCTCATTTCTTAAGAGTTGTGTGGATGGGAGTGGGTTGGGTTGGGTTGTTAGGGGTAGAGTCATATTTTCACCAATGAGAAAAAAAGGCATTAACAGTTCAATGTATAAATACGAAATCATAACACATCAGTGCTTTAAACCTCTAAAGGCCTTGCAAATGCCCATAGTGGCCTTCAGAGGCTACAAGTTTCTTTGTATGCTTTACCTTTCCTCTTTAAAGTTATCTTTTTCTGAACAACAGATTAAAAAAAAAAAGCTATAAACAATTGGGTTTCTTAATCACCTTTGCTTTGTTTTGTTTAACTGCTATTATGGCATTAGAATAAGTTTCCGCTGCAAGTGCACGGTATTTCCACAACCAATTACTTAGTGGCCAGGGGACTAGTGTTTTGTTATAATGTTTTCAGACAGATAATGTTCCAAATTCCATTGCTTTATTTTTTTTAAAGAATTCTTTTTTTTTTTTTTTTTAATGTTTATTTCTGAGAGAGGGAGAGAGGGTGAGCAGGGGAGGGGCAGAGAGGGAGACAGAATCCCAAGCAGGCTCCACGCTGTCTGTGAAGAGCCCTACGTGGGGCTCAATCTCACCAACCACGAGATCATGACCGGAGCCTAAATCAAGTCTGGAGTGTCTGCAAGGCTGTGGGTTGCACACAAGTAATTGGGTGGATCAGGTCATGATCTCATGATTCATGAGTTAGAGTCCCACAGCGCGTGAGCTCAAGCCCTGCTTCGGGTAAAACCAAACCAAACCAAACCGCAAGCCTTGCTTTCCGTGAGCGCCACTTCTCTCTCCTCACTTTCTCTCTTTGCCCCTCATGTGATTCTATCTGCCCTCATTCACTTGTGTCCTCTCTCTCTCTGAAAAGTTTACTTATTTACTTTGACCGTGAAAGTGAATGAGCAAGTGGGGGAGGGGCAGAGGGAGGGGGAGAGAGAATCCCAAGCAAGCTCCATATTGTCAGTGCAGAACCCAATGCAGGGTTCGAACGCCCCAACCTTGAGATCTTGACCTGAGGCGAAACCCAGTCAGTCGCTTACCTAAGCCACCAGGTGACCAGGTGGCTTTTTTAAACACAGGCTAAAACAGCTACACAGTTCTGTGGTCCGTAAATACTGGTCCCAGGACTGGCAAATTATCATTTTTTACTGGCTTTAAGTTTTTTGTTTTTTTTTTTTAAACTGAAAAGCCTTACTTAGGATTTTTCAGGATCCTAGCATGCCTCCTTACAGAATGCAAATAAAGACTATTTTGCATGAAACCACTCCAGCGAGTACAAAATAGTCTCTTAAAAACATCATTTTTCCTTAAATGTGATCTAAATAGTACCATGAAGAAAAATTAACTGTAGTGGAAAATGCTAAGAAAAAAATATATACATACATATGTTCAAATGTACTGGAGCAAGATGTGTTAAGCCCACACAAGAAAACTCCCGTATTTTTACTTTGGCATAAAAGGGCAAGTTTCTTTGATCTTTCTGATAGGCTTGGTGCACTTAAAAGTTCAGGTTTCTGGGTTGTCTGGGTACCTCAGTTAGTTAAGCGGCTGACCTCGGTTCAGGTCATGATCTCACCCTAGTGGGTTTGAGCCCCACATCAGGATCTGTGCTGACAGTTCAGAGCCTGCGACCTGCTTCAGATTCTGTCTTGTATGCCCCTCCCCTGCTTGCGCACGTTCTCTCTCAAATATAAACACTAAAAAAATTTTATATAAAAAAAAATAAAGGTCAGGTTTTCAATAACTGTCTCTGGATTAGCTTTGCCTTTTTTTTCTTTGAAAAGGTCAGATGAAGTGCAGTTCTTAACCTGGACATCACTTAGCGGGGTGAATCCCGTCGAACTTCAAAAGTGTGCGCTGAACGTGTGTGTGTATATTCTGCTGGGACGAGCTTCCATCATTTTCCCAAAAACCACTGGTTACTGGAGAGCACCAGATTTGCAGTCGAAAATCTAATCCGAATCTTGCCTCTGCGCTTTGATGGCCATGCGGTGTCTGCACTAGTAGGTATTCTTTGCCTCCGTTTTCTCATCTACCACCTGAACGAATAAGTTACTACCTCCTGTGTTTCCAGGCTGACACGCAAAACTCGTGGCACAGTGGATGCCCTAATACTCATCAGGTCTCGAGGAACCCACACGTTGTGCACACGTACTTCACTGAAAAACTAAACAAAATCGTTTATTATTTTTAAAGCCTGGGACAGATGGTTTCACTGGGTCGTAGGAACACGAACGCTCTGAATGCCTGTTGCTTTATTCAGTTCAACAAAAACGCCTCCGACCCCCTTCAACTGACAGGATCACGCCTGCCTGTGAATGAAGCAGGTGCCAAGTCAACAGACGCTTGTATGCACAGGGTATTCCCCAGTTTTTTTTAAATTTGTATTTATGTTTTTAGTAATCTCCCCACCCAAGGCGGGGCTGGAACTCACGACGCCCAAGATCAGGAGTCCCATGCTTTTCGGAATGAGCCAGCCAGGCGCCCCGCAAATATCTTTTCAACTGGCAACACAATTAATCTGCATCCCCACACAAAGTCACGGTACAGACTACCGCCGGATGAGCTGAAAAACTGAGCCTTGCACGCTACCTAACCAGGGAGAGAGTAACTGTGCCTGAGACGAAACTACGCTAGGGTCCTTCGTTTGGTAAATTCCCTAATTTACGCCAAAAAGGCCAACTTGTCTGTAGGATGGTGTGAAACCACCGAGTCGGTTAATAATGAAATCGAATCATCTTCTTCTTGGCGACTCCACAAGACTGAAGACCTTCGCAAACCCGCTCCCACGATCGCCTGAATCGCACAGTACAGACCCCCCGAAGCTCTCGGACAGCCTTACCTACACGCGACCTTCCTCTCCCGGGCGCCCCTCTCCCGGAAGGCCCGCCCCCCTCCCGGAAGACCCGCCCCCGGCCAGGCTCTAGGCTCCCGCGCGAGTCCGCAACGGAGAGCAGTGGAGAAACGGAAGGTTGCGGCTAGAGGGGAGCCCTGGTGAAACTCGAAACTACTAGCGCTCTCTCTTGGAGGCTTCAGAGGTCGCACCTGGCACTTGAGCAGTGAGGGCAGTGCCTCGGGTGTGTGGCTTGGAGACGGTGGCTTAGGGAGAAAGACTGGCTTTCCTGGAAGGGCTTGCACGGTTCGCTAAGTATATTTTATTGGAAAAGGGCTACAGAGATTTCCAGTAAACCTCTAAGGTAATGCTCATGCGCGTGCCGCGTGGTGGAGGATGAAATGCACTTTTTTCCGTTCCTCCTCTTTTTCATCCAGTCTAGGCCTTGACGTGCTCGAAGAGCATTGCTTGACTAGTGGCTGAAGGGTCTTCTGGCCCATCGGCGATGCCATTCCTCTCTCCTTGCACTTACTTACTCATCATCTAATAGTGGATTAGTAACACCTCTAAGAGGGCCATTCTTGATACCCTTTTCCTGGATCGGGGCGCTATTTGGGCTGCCCTTCAGGCAGGAGGGATGGGATATTTATCTGACTCTTTAGTAGTTACCTAGATAAGGTTGGAAGGTAGAGGAAATACTGTTAAGTATTTCCCTCCGTAGTAAATCTTCTCTCAAGCACGCCACACCTCATAGGCATTTTATGAAATCTTTATTGACTGATAGTACGGCTGAAAACACTATTTTCTAAGCATTATTCAAAGCCATTCACAAATATTCCAGAATGTATCCTGGAAATAAGGCTCATCAGCAGTATGCCACATACCAGGAAGGTATTCTGTTGACGCTCTCTTCCCTCCTATAGAATCGTGTTATTTTTTGACATTGTTTTAAAAAGGGAAAAAGAAGCCCCAAATGGAATTATTCCTTTCCACCCACACCCCCGATAGCAAACTAAGACTTAATCCGTTTCAACCTCTCTCAGGAACTTGACCTTTTAACAGTCAATCTGAAATTTCCTATCTGCATTAGTGAGGTAATCTGGATGATAAAAACCCTGCCTTCCTATCCTACCCACAAAAAATGTCCTGGCTTAAAACAGTTCATTCCTTTATTTTGCTAATAATTTTCTTGCTCCACCCTACTACCGTTTTGTACAACTCCGCCCCTTTCTACTTGCTAGATGGGATGCTTCCTGATTCATAACTCGCTTTATAAAGGCTAAGGGATCCTCAGTTTTATTCCGTTGAATTTTGTTTTTTAACAACATTTTATCAATCTAATGTATAGAGTTTGCTCTCACCAAGTTAAGTTTTGACATGTTATCAGTCTATATTACAGGAAGTAGCCTTATAAACTTAGTCTGATGTGAGTTTACTGCATTTACATTTATACACAGTGTTAATGAGCACCCCTCATCCTTTTTTCCATAGTTCAGTCCAAACATAATGATCCAGGTAGAATTTTCACCTTGTGTTTGTATATTTGTGTAGTTGACTGTTATTACCTAATGGCCACTGAATCATGTGAACAAGAAGGCTCCCTTTGCTTGTTGGGCTGTAGGAAAGTTTAAGGCTAAATTTGCAGTAGTCTCATGGCAATGAGTATTATATGTATATTTGCATACACCTTGTCATTGGCTTCATTTATATATATATATTTTTAGTTTTTCCCTTTTCATCTATTATTTATATTATCAGGATGTTTTGTGAATATCTTTATAAGCTACCATGACTCTCAAAACATACCAACATTTAGAGCTGTAAGAGGCTATTACTCTTGAAACTGCCTCTCCCCTTAAGCCTTAGCAATCACCCATAGCCCAGGTAAAATTTTTTTTTTTTCTTACAAATAGTTTATTGTCAAGTTGGTATTTTTTTTTCTAACTTTTTTTTTTTTTTTTTGAGAGAGAGAGAGACAGCATGAACAGGGGTGGGTCAGAGAGAGAGGGAGACACAGAATGCAAAACAAGCTCCAGGCTCTGAGCTGGCTGTCAGCACAGAGCCCGACGCAGGGCTCAAACCCACAAACGGTGAGATCATGACCTGAGCCAAAGTTGGATGCTCAACCGACTGAGACATCCAGGTGCCCCAAACTAAACTTTTTTCTGTATATCCTGAGATCATGCATTCTTTCCAAGAAAAGAATAGAGTCCTTCTGCACATCTCAAAATAGAAACCAGACCCTCTTGCACATCCCCCCAACCCTAATGCCCAGGACCAAAGAACCAGACTCCCTTGCACAATCTTTGAGCACTGTGAAAACGTCTGTAGCTAGCACTATTAAGTCTGTACAGTAATCGAAAAATGTTACAGACCACTGCACTCCCTTTACTGATTAACTGCCCCAAAGCCCTTTAAAAATCCTGGGTGGAAACCTCAGAGTTGGCCTTTGGTCAAGAGTCTGCTTCCTTTATTTACGTGGTTGGCCTCCTAAATAAAGCCCATATTCCTTTCCAATCAAAACTTTGGGGCTCCTTGGTGGCTCAGTTGATTGGGCGTCTGACTCTGTTTTGGCTCAGGTTATGATCTCACGGTTTGTTGGATTGAGCCCTCCATAGGGCTCTATACTGATAGTATACTCTGTCTCAAAAATGAAAAAATAAACTTAAAAAAAAAACAACTAAAAAATCCCCACACCTCACCTCTTGAATATTGACTTTTCAAGCTACAGGCAGCTGAACTTGGGTTTCAGTAACACTCTAGGCACTTCACAACACGACTCTCATTAAGTCAAGCTTATGGGGTTCCTATAAATTGCCTGAGCCTGCTATAACAAAATACTACAAACTTGGTGGCTTGAAACATCAAAACTTTAGTATCTCACAGTTCCAGAGGCCAGTCAGTATCACTGGGACAAAATCAAAGGGTTGACAGAGCCACACTCCCTCCGGAGGCTCCAGAGTAGAATCAGTTCCTTGACTCTCCCCACTTCTGGTGATTACTGGCATTCTGTGGCTTGTGGCCATCAATTTTCAAGGCTAGCACCTTCAACTATCTCTCTGCCTCCTCTTCTCATCACCTCCTAATGCCTCCTTCTCACAGGGATACATTTGCATTTAGGGTACACTTGGATAATTCAGAATAATGGCCCCACCTCAAGGTCAAAATTTAAACTCTTCTAGACATTGACTTCCAGGCTTTGGTTTACCCACTTGTACTTTTCAAATTAAGGCTTCTTTAGAGACTCTTCTTATAATCAGAGATTGCATTACACATTTCCATCTCTATTGCTCAGTGTTTTAAAATTGTGGGCTATGAATCCTAAGTTAGTGGTGAAATCAATTTAGTAGGTTGTGACCAGCATTAAAAGACATTAGTATAGGGAATATCAGAGTGCTTCACATGTAATGAGGGTAATTACTGTTTCATGAAACAATATGTGTATATTGGATCATAATGTAAAATCTATGTCTTACTCTAAGTTGTGGTAAAGTGGAAAACCTCTGCTGTACTGTTTCATTACTCATCATACTCTGTGGCAAATATTCTTTGCTGTTAGAGCAAGAATTAAAGCTCACATCAACTTCAAGTTCTTCCCGTGTGGCGTAGTCCAATGGGCAGGTGGATACTTATTCCTTTAAGTAAATTAACATACAGATGCCCTGTTTCCCTAAGTACCCATTCCCAACATTATGTGGGTTCTTCTCTCCTACTTCTGTATTTACAATAGTTCTTTTCACACTTCCGGAAACAAAGGTATATCCCTCACCCAGGGTATTAAACCCTCCACCAATTTAACATGTTTTGGGGGAGGCTTCCTTTAATGAGCAATTGAGGCACCCTAAACCCTCTTATGTTCCTTTTTTCTCCTGTGTGATGTATATTCCAGGTGAGGGTGAAGTATGGCTGTTAGAAATAAGGTAATTGGATATTTGTTGTGATTTTCTGAAGCCAGATACACTGTGTGGGTGTGAATGGTAAGGGTGATAGTAAATCTCCTTTAATCACAAAGTCCCTTCCATCCTCTGCAGCTAAGAACTGCATTGTTACTGAAACGGTCCAGTGAAAGCCAAGCCAAGCCAGCTCTGAATATCGAATCCTCTGTGTTTTCCCAGATATTTAAACATAAGCAATTCTTTTCAGCTCTTCTTAATATTTATCAGTAGGATGTGTCATTACCTGGAAAGGAAAGCAAACTTTGAAGGTGAAGTAATAGAGGTTAGAGACATTGATTATTTTATTGTTTATTTTAAATATAAAATGGATTATTTTTAGGGACCTTCATATTTTTTTCACATTACGCTGGAATAGTCTGCAAAGAAGTCAGACATAATTTTATTTTAGATTTGGTATGTGTTATTCAATAAAGGTTAAAACTGAGGGGGCGCCTGGCTGGTGAAGTCCATAGAGCATGCAACTCTTGATCTCAGGATTGTGAGTTCAAGCCCCGTTCAAGCCCATGTTGTGGCTAGAGCTTACTTAAAGCAAGCAAACATACTATGCAAGCACTGATACAATGTACCCAAATATTTATGATTCCTCCCCTTTCCAGGCATAAGGTTGGAGTGGGTTTCATGACAATCCTGGGATTAGGTAAAGTCATATGTCTATTTCTGCCCAGTGAGTTGTGAACAGAAATGAAGCATTACCTTCATCCATGTGAAACTCTCCAGAGCTCTTTTCCCTCTGGCAGAGGGTCATTGCTGTGTCAGTCCAGGCCCCTGAACGGTTATGAGGAGCGGTCCTGTGTCAGTCACCATGTGCACAAAGTTTAGGTGAGAAATGAGTTTTGGTGTTGTGAGTCACGTCTTTGTTGTTTTTAGTCATACAGTTTTGTTGTTTGTCACTGCAGCATGACCCAGCCTAGCCTATCTGATACATTTATTTTATAAACTTCTATCATGAAAGTGATGTGGGGCTGGGAGCGAATGGTCAAGAAAGAATTCTTGATACATTTTCAGTGCAAAGAATGCTTTTATTATAGCATGGAGAGCTCCCCTTTCCCTGTCTGAAGCTGGTGGTTATATGCTTAGTGCTCAAGGGGAAGGGGACGTGCAGGGAGTATTAGATCCTAAGTATC